TATTACTAATGATGCCATCTCCTTACCTAAGTATGCAATTCGATACATGAGCCCCAAAATCCAGAATGAACTGATTCTAACAACATCTCAGCTGCTGCAAAAGTCTTTGTCACTGAGATAAATGAATGTCCATTTTGGTCAATTGTACTGGATACCACAAGTGACATAAACAGAGTAGATCAGCTCAGTGTCACTGCTAGCTCGGTGGGTTAAAGTACAAAACGAGAATGTTACCATTAAGGAAACTTTCCTTGGTTTTATATCTGTAACTGACGGAACAGCGGCCGGCCTCGTAGAAACAATATGCAAATATGTCGAAGATATTGGACTTGACATAGAATAGCTCCGTGGTCAAGCTTACGACGGGGCGAGTGTCAGGAGTGGTGTTCATCAAAGCCTGTGCCATTCATTCATTGTGCAGCACACAATCTGAACCTTGTTATAAATGATGCCATAAATTCCGTTGTTGATAACGATAACTTTTTCGGAGTTATTCAATCCATTTACGTATTTTTCTCATCGTCCATAAATCGGTCATGAGATTTACAGTTGCTCGCTGTTGATTCGTCCTTGTCTTTAAAAAAGCTCTGCGTTACCAGGTGGTCGTCTAGGGTAGATTCAGTCCGTGGAGTGCGGGACAGATTTGTTGACATTTGGAAGCGACTGACAGTCGTTTTGTTGACCAGCAAGGATAAAAAAGAACGTGATGAAGCTGTTGGCATCAAGAAGAACATTGCAAAAATTGACTTTATCATAAATCTAGTTCTCTGGGAGAGAATTTTGTCATGTACCAACTCCGCATCAAAGGAACTGCAATCGAAAAGTGTCGACCTCAGTGCCGCTTCCAGACTTTTATGCATTAGTTTGTCAGAACTAAGGTATTTGCGAAATTCATGGGAGACCGTTCGAATGACCGCAAATGCCCTTGCTGCATCATGGGGCATTCCCATTGAGTTTGAGAAACGACGTAAGCGTGGGATAAAACAGTTCTTCGACGAATTGGCTTCCGATTCTAGGATCGAGGATTCAGAAAGAGCTTTTAAAATAAACAACTGGCAAGCATAGGATTATTCACTTGAAGCAGATGAACAGCCAAACAAGATAACAATACTGTCATACATTTGAACACTGGGAACCCACTGTATGAATACCTATAGAATTACACAGCTATCATTATAGCCATGGACTAACTACTACACTATCAAGAAGATTGTTTTTAGATGTTATTTTCAAACAGACATATACATAATTTTTGTACCATATCAGTATTTATTAAGTAGAAAATATCACTATCACCATTTTGATACGGTATATGGAAACCATTGGGAAAGTACTCCATCAATCAATTAATATTTAGAATTCCCCATTCATGGTTTACATTATATACCTTCAAAATTATCAGTCCATTTTCAACTAACTACCAACAATGTTTTGCTTTGCATGGTGATTAACCACTCACTCTTGGCACAACCATTAGGCCATATCACTTTTAATTGTTTATATCAAAAAACATTACCTATGAGATAATACAATAAGATGGTCTTAACCACATACGTATGTAACGTATTATCTACATGATATTTCATTGTATATAATGTATATAGTTTTCAGGATTGTCACATATTTAATTAATAAACAATTTTCACATAATAATTTGTCTTTTTGTGAGTCTGTGTCTCTATTAAACTCAACTGGATGTATGTTTGTAATGTTACTCTGAATGCATATCCACACCGGGCGAGCTTGAAAAACATGCCCGGCCACGGTGGGATTCGAACCTACGACCTTTGGAATACTAGCCCAATGCTCTTCCAACTGAGCTACGCGGTCAGGACGGTTCGAGTAAGTGATATT